GTGAGAATTTGCTTGACCATATTACCAATGGAAGTACATTAGTAATATGGTCAGTGTACAGATAATGTATGTTAATAAACTGCAGAACTTGCAATATTACATTTATTATGTTATTTATATGCTTTCCCTTTATATTTTTAAAGTTTATAACAGTATATGTCTTATTTCTTCTAATATTTTTCCATCAGTAGTTAACAATCAGTATTTTTCTGCTACAGTAAGTTGTTCTGCTGGTATACGTTTTAAAACTATTTGTTTTGAAACATTCAATGAAAATCTTAATTATGAGTTCATAAGTACTGTAGTGTAGTGATGTACCTTTTGTCTCAATTTAAAAATTAAATTACTGTTAAGATTTCTGATATATTATTTTTTGTTTCTCTTCTAAAAAATGTAAGATGTGCCATGTATGAATTATGTGTTAATGTATGAATTCATACATTCACAAGAAATTATACCAAGTGTTTAACTACAGTATACTCCTCACTATTTTTACAACCCTGGCCTATTTCTATGGATTAAGATTTGATTTTTTAGTAAATATGTGCACTTAAGATTAGGGTCATGCCGAACAGTTTTGGTGCCCGAGGTAAATCTTATATTTGGAGCCTGATTCACATTAATTACATGAAATTAAATATTACTTAGATAGCTTTCAAACAAATTTCTCTCAATGCAGATTATTGCTGAATTGACTAATCTATCCTGTGCAGTAGTTGTACAACGTATAATTTTTAATTAATTTGTGTATGGATAAACTATGTTTGGCTGCTACTACTAATCTCAGCAATGTTAAAAGTGTATGGATGCTTGTGTGGACTGCAGTATTTGGAAATAAACAAACATAATCATTATTATGTATAAAATTAATAACTGTTTTGACACACTTAATAGCTACAGGCAATAGGTTAGAAAGATTAATTATCTCTTCTTTAAGTTCAGTTTTATCCTTACCATCCTTTAATACTAAATATTTACCAAGAGTACTACAGTTTAAATGTTTTAGGTTAGAAATGTCATGTAAAAGTTAAAAATTCTGCAATATTTATTAATTTAAAGATACAAATTAATCTTCAGTCTCGCACAAAATACAAGAAACCAAAAAGAATTAAATTTTACAAAAGTAAAATATTAAAACAAGCAAATCTCGTGGCAAAATCTTGTTTAAAACGTTACACTAGTTTTAATAACATTAAATAGAAAATAATTTTAATATTGATAATAAAATTGGTTTCTGATTAATTGTTTTTCAATTTTGTTTTATTATTATTATTGCTGGACAAAGGGAATCGCTCATTAAACAAAAGCAATAAATTGTATTTAATAATTTTTATATTTAATTTACAAATTGGAACAGTTCATAAACACCTGCAATTGTATTCGGACACTGGCCAGTGAGTGTAGGGATGAATTTTTCAGTATTTCAGAAGAATTTATCAATAGCCACTTTTCTGTTAAGGATAATTACTGTATCAGACACAAGAAGCATCTTCAAACATGCGCTAACGAAGTTAATACACAAACCCACACTCACTTACATATGACGCCATACTAAGTTTTTGTCTTTGCTAATGTTCACTTAAATTGGAAGTTATTTAACATTTTAAATTATATACAAATTTTTAGTTTAATGAATGTAAAACAGAAGTTTAAAAAATAAAGCAAAAAGGTAAAGGTTTTTAGTTTCAATTTCGATTTAGATATTTTGAATTAAATTTAATAATTATAAATTCAAACATTATTGAAATTATTAGTTAATGTTAATATAAGCTAATAGTCTAACCATCTCTTTTAAAAAATTATTTTATATTAATTATTAATAGTTAGCCAAACTCATAATATTCCATAAATTAATATTATTATTATAGAATATTTGGGCTTGGTTGTATAATGCATATCTACAATTATTTATTTAATAGAAATGAACAGAAAAAGCAGTATTTTAATTATCTTGCTTTTACTGGCTTCCTAAGGCATGGGGTATGTGGTAGTGTGGGTTATATTGAGGCTTTACTTTTGTTCTTACAATTTTCTGCACAGTACACAGTGTTAATCACACTACACTTGCACACTTTTCCAGCATTAGTTTAATCAAAAATATTTTTGACTCCGTTCAGAGGTTCTGCCTCAGGTTAAAAATGTATTAAAATACAAATTAAAGAAAAGATGTTTGTTTTGATTAAACTAGTGTTGGAAAAGTGTGTAAGTTATTGAGTGATTAGTACATTTGTTTTTCTACAAGTCCTTTCTGTATACAGCATTATTGTTTATTGTAGTGATGGTAACCAAAGTTTGAAAAATGCTTAGTTAAGTAACAGATTCAAACTTATTAGCTTTGAAAATGTTGGCAGTACTTAGTTCACCATGCTATCTCTTGGAAATTGTGATAAAAATTAAATTAAATTAGAATTTAGCATTGATTTATAAAATGTCTAGGTAATTTAAACATGGTGTAAAATTAGTAAGTGTTTTAACACTACAGTAAGTGTTATTGTAAAGTCAAGAAGTTGGAAATTGAAGAAACGAGAGATTGCTTTTTGATGATTGAATTGTTTAGGCTTTTATAAATTGGTATTAAATTCTAAATTGCATTAAATTATTGTCAGATGAAGGCCAAATAATTTCCAGATTTCTTTGGGCTTTAATAATGCTACTATAGTATTTAATAAATAAATGCTAAGTAATTTGTCTTAGAGATATTAAGTATTAGTTATAATTTTAAATTTATCAAAAGATGGCACCTAATGCTTACCTCTAGACCAGATTGACATTTAATTATTAAATAGTAGCATCATTATAGCCCCATGCAATCATTTGGCATTAAAATTAAGTTAAATTTAGTTATGTTTTAATTTAAGATTAATTTTAAATTAATATTTGTATTATCAGATGTTTTTGAAGATACTTTCATTCTTGTTATTGCATATGTAATTTATACTTCTTATCAGTTCATATGGAGGTGTTAGCCTGTTGGCTTTGTTCCTCCCATTGAACGACTTGGTGGTTAGTCAAAGTGTCTGGTGTGACATAGATAGGATTCCAAGGCCTTAATATGGAAGCATGGATTTATAGATGTGGATGGCCAGTAGATCAGGGTTAGATCTCTAATGAGGGACAGTCAAATTACAAGTGTGGATTTGAGATCAAGGTAAGCCTGATTGTAGTGCTGGCATATGAGCCAGAAGTGGTTGATGGTTTTAATGGCACAGGGAGACAGGATCTGGAGTAAAGGAAATAGTTCAGAGGTGCAGTGTTGGTACGAAAGTGGCACAAGTGTCTTGGCCTGTCTAGTGGAGGCATGGTCATAAGGCCATGGTTGAAATGGCTGGATGTGCACCTATCTTTTGTGTTGCAGGGAGACTGACCAAGACATGAGGAGGTCTTGATGGCACTTGTCATGGATGTGTAGGGAAATTCCTGGGAGAGATGGTTCTCCAGAGGGAGCTAGTGGGGGGTGCCTTGAAGGCTATGGAGTCAGTTGCCTCATTAATTGGGATACCTGCATGGCTGAGAGTCACTGTTGGTGTATAGGTGGTTATCCATGTAGCAATGTCAATGAGGAGGGGGTAGAAAGGGGCAATGTGTTGAAGATCCAGAAGGACTGACTGACTATGAAAATTACAGTAGGATGTTGGTATTTCTGCATCTGGAGTGTCCTGTGGATGGCCAGTGCTACAACCATGTAGACACTACAGCTGGGGTCAATGATAAAGACATCCGCAATGGTAAACTCTGGGATGACTACCCCTGTCGGGGATGCATGGGATTTTCAATGCATCTGTGCCCAGGAGAAGCCGCCTCAGCCAGGTGTTGACTATCATTGCCTGAAACATGATTGTGAGGGTGGGGGATAATGGCCACCCATCACAAACTTATTTAATGGGATCCAATGTGTGATACTGGAGAGGGGGAGTGAACTCTGGCAGTAGATCTGAGAAGCGGGGATGTCTGCCCTCTGAAGGGTAATCAGCATCCAGTACATGCTTGGCATTTGATGATTCCTTCACTAGTAGAAACCTAGGCTGGACACTGACTGAATGTTGGAGTAGAGCAGGCTGTAAGAGCACATACATAATTTTTAAGTTTATTGCATAACTGTTGAGTTTAGTTGAATTTTAGGTTGGGTTTTTCAAAGATTATACAGTAGAGCGTCGATTTTCCGAAAGTCAATCATCCGAAAGAATTCCAGTCGGCAAATTTAAATTTTTGCCAGTGCTGTGGCGCTTCAGTCTTTGGCTATGTCTTGGGCTACTCGAATATTTTACGTTTTTGATACTAAATTAACATCTGAAGTATAATTTTTTATTGTTTTTATATTTTTCAATATATTTATTTTGTTTGTACAAAATAAAAAAANATCTTTGGCTATGTCTTGGGCTACTCAAATATTTTACGTTTTTGATACTAAATTAACATCTGAAGTATAATTTTTTATTATTTTTATATTTTTCAATATATTTATTTTGTTTGTACAAAATAAAAAAATAATTTTTAACGATACAATAGTCTTTGTTAGGCTTAACATCGACGAAAATTCAACGCGAAGCGACACGCAATGGAGAAAAATTTTGACATCGGATACGTTAAACTATTTTTTAGTACGTAAATCAGTTATCCGAAATATCAGTTATCTGGACAACACCAGTCCCCAATTGATTCGGAAAATCGACGCTCTACTGTATTATTCATCATCAATGCTATTTTTCTGTCTTTTGATAGTTTTGATGTATAGTTTTCATCAGTAATAGTTCTTTTTTCCTATATGTGAATTGTCTTTTGTATTTATCTTTTATACATAATTAAAGATTTTAAATATTGCAAATTAATAAAAATATAATCTTAATTTTCTTCACAGCAATTTATCAACGAAATATTTAAATTTTTGAGATCTTCGAGCTCTCAGAATCACTGCGTATGCCTTCAAGCGACACGAATTTTAACTAGGGATAAAGTAGGTCTCGATCAGCTGTTCACTCAAGAGCATATAAACACATTGATTTATCTTGCTGGCTTGGTTATTGATGGAGAAGAAATTCTTGAACAATCCCAGAATCAAAATATTCCAGGTATTAAGAAGTTGATTAACATTCCAATTAAATATAATTAAATTATAAAAAAAATATATATATATATTGAAGATACAAAATTGTCTTCATCTTCTCTTCAATATATATACTTATTACATTGTAATTTAAATACCATTGGTCAATTTTTAATTTTGATCAACTAAATTTTATTAGTTTTTAATCATATATATAAATTTAATTAGTAATTTCTACACAGCATTTTCCAAAAAGAATGGTACCATTTTGAATTATGTTAAATATTATTGTGAGAATCCGAATCCGTGTATTTACATCATTTGTTCATAATATCACATCATAGTTATACTTTCATTAAATAACTGCCAACTTTTACACCTGGGAGCTAAACATCTGTTAAGTTCTCAGGCCTGACAACAACGCTTTCTCATCACCTCTTGACCTAATATCTCGATTTCAACAGTTCAAAATATAGAACAGAACAACAAAGTAAGAGAGTTGTCACCAGTTCCTCGATCGGACCACTCAAGTTTTTCCTGTGATAAAATATTTGGATATCTCTTCACCTAATATCTAGTTAACTAAGAACTGTGGAAATAAGAACTGTCTTCTTTTGTGTCCGACTGACTTGCAGCAGATCAAGGCTTCATATAAGGTATTTATCGCCACGCACAACTTCTGTAAACTCTTTCTTGGAAATCGCAAAAACGTTAATATCCGATATATATATCTAATATTTATCAATCATAGAAATGTATCTAAAAGCTAGCATATTTAAAATTGAAATGTTGTATGGCCTATAATTACCTATTAAATAGTTGTTACGTTAACCCGTTTCTGTGTAAGTCACTTCCGGTGCATTGTCTCTCCCTCCATCCCGAATTCGTTCGCTCACACATGCGATCGTGCACACAAGAACATAATATAATGGCTTCTGTGTCTGTCAGTCCTGATGAAACTTGTCATTGTTATCTTTGCCGACGCGATATTGACCCTTCAGTCACGTGGTGCTGAAGTATAGGGAGGCCCTTTGTCATTGTCACAGTATTTGAGAATGTCATGTCATGATAAATATTAAACATTGAAAAACTGTCCAAGTTTCACATTTGCCCCATTACGATTTTTTCATGTGTGCACCTTGTGTCAGAAAACACGTATCTAATTTTCAGATTCTTCGTACATTCTCTATGGATATCCATTGTCACTCCTTCCATAGCAGCTCCAATTCTACAGTTCCTGCAGATTCCTTGTGTTGCACAGTAATGAGTGATTCCAACTTTGTGGACTGCCAATGCACATGATGACTTTTCTGTTGCAGTGTTGCCATTTTTGTGTATGGCACTTCTTAGAGGTGGTAGACAAGACATTTGAACGCAGATGAGAGATGAAACTTGAACAGTTACTTTATCCATTGATATATGTCATAAACTTCTTGGATTAACATAATTACAGCAATTTAGAATGGTAGCATTAATTTTGACAGACTGTACATAAAAAAGCATTGTCATAGTAATAATAATAATGTTGTATAATGCTTCAGTGCTTATTTCCTAAGAATAATTCTCATAAAACTAATAAATATAAACTTCAGTATCCCCATTCACTCAAACTGGTCTACATTATTTAAGAATTATACCATAAATCTTGATTATCATTATCGTACGTTAATGTATTCAGCCTTTAAATAAGGTTGAAAATGTTTGTGTAATATAACTTTGTTTGCCGGAGTAAAAGTTTATGGTTTAATTCTTCAACTTCACTATTCCAGAGTGAGATTTGAATCTGTAATATCAGAAACAAGTAATTATGCTTTAATTAATGCACAATGGACCTTTTAGGTTGAAGTGCTTTCAGCTTGGTCTCACTGTACATAATGCCTTAATAAACTCTTCTCTCAGATTTATTACATTTGATAATGAAATCATGTAAAATATAAAATACACTTAGCTTGTGTTTTAATTCACAAATATAACATCAAACAATATTTAAAAAATTGTCAGTTGATCAAATTGGGCTATGGTTCTTCTACTTTCCCCTGGGTGTTTATGAGGAAAGACACAAAATATATAATGTTTGAAAGTATCATTTTCATATTTTCTGATATTATTATTTTATATTATTGATTTTCAAGCCCGATAATGATTAATTTCAGGAGAAATTAATCATTATCATCAATTTTCTTTTATGTTTATTACATAAATAATAATGAGTGAATACTAATGTTATGCAATATCCATTCATAAATATTATTTTCTAAATTTAAGCTTGAAATATGTATTTCCATCCTTATTATTGCTAAAATTTGTGTAAATTTATGAATTTAGCAATAATAATTTTAGTTTTTTTATTAATTATTTTATAACTAATTATAAATAAAAGAGGCATTATTATAATGAAATTTTATTTTACAGTTATTGTTGAAGCTCAGAAATGTTTATGCAACCTGATTTACAATTGCAAATCTGCCCAGAGAATATGCAGGTAAGTGACTGTAAATTTATAATATTCTTTTCTTCGGGTCTCTTCTTGTAAATTTCTTATCGGCTCTAACGAAAGGATATTAATACATTTACATAGACATACAATTGTCTATATGATAGATTCTGCCCTACAATTGCTCACTTTTATGACCCTTTCTTTTATGACTAGTTTAAATTTTTTAATTTTAATTACATGAAATGTCATATTTGAGTGTGTCTTATTTTTTTCTATTGGTCACCTTGGAGGTACTTCAAGGTAATCCCAGTTATTTGGTTAATATTTCCAGGATAAACAATACAATAATTGAAAGAAATAATATATGGGAGATAAGAAATTGTCATCAAGTATTTTTTAAAATTATAATTTATACTAGAAATTTATTTATGTACTAGTACATACTTTAAAGGAAGGAGATTATAATTTAAATTCAACACTTAGTTTTAAAACTTTATTATTAAATAAAAGTTTATATGAATTATTTTACAAATATATGCAGGAGATTTTGCTTCAAAAGTTCCTTCTTTTGATGTGTGACGTGATAACAATGAGCAGTGTTTTCTATTTCTCACCACATTTTCATCAAATGTCCAAAATTAGGATTGTCATTTATTATTTACAGACTTGAATCATTTCATCAAGTTCTTTTCACATGAATTCATTTGTTGCTGTTTTAATTTCATCATTTCTAATGCTATCCGTTAAGCGTTGTACATTTGTTCTGCAACAAATTAGTAAGTTCTTTATCAACATTATTAGGGAACGGGAGAAAATCTTTAACATCTTTCTTATCTGTTACAGTTAATCTTAGATCAAAACAAGTTGCATAATTTCTTCAATGGTACTGTTAATTTCAGTGTCGATTCCTTGGAAATTGTTTATGCATTCAGGAATAAGGTTTTGCCGAATAGCTCTCATGTTAGTTACTGCAATTTCTTTCCATGCTTCATCAATGTTTTCAAGAGCATTTTTTATTTTAAAATTTTTCCTAAATCCTGTTAAAGATTGAATTTTTATTGTTTTTCAGTTGCCTGACTAAAAGTGTTATGTAGGTAATACTCTTGAAGTATTGAAATTATTATGAGAGTGTGAAGTATTAGTAGTTCACTCACAGTTGAGAAATGTCCCCCTCTGCACTGCACCAGCTCTTGTAACAGCAACCTCTAAGCATGTATCAGAAATCAAAAGTGAACAATTTAAACATTTGGATGTGGACAATATCAACATGTAACAACATTGAACCAAAACATCTCTGCAAGTGTTATGGTCATATGGAAAAATGCACAAATTTGTAAACTTAAACTTTCTTAAATTTTTGCATTATTTTGCTTAAATTTTGTATCATTATTTATTTATTTTTGGGTAGTAATTCAAGGTTAAGGTTTTGATCTGTAGATGAGACATTTCTAGACTTGAAAAATCTCTGTCTGGCTTTTTAACAGTGTAGTATGTGATGATGTAAAAAAAGTATCATAAAGGTATCATCCTATGAAAGAAGTTGACCTGAAAGAAACAGACCTGTCCATTTCAGGTTACTTTAAATCAAATATTTAAGAATGTGGGTATTACATTGTAACGCACAGAACACAGAATTACATATTACATATAAATAAATAAATTTATAAATCAATATACAGAATTTTTTAAGTATATAGTAGATAATACTTAAATATACAATATGATAAGATAACAATATAATAAATAACCTTTACTATATTGTTTATACAGTAGCCTGTATAGTATTATACTGGTATACTGCTTATACTGTGTAGTACTACTGTATATAGTATCTACCCAATATATTTTTATCAGTTCTTTTGGCAAGGTCATGTGAAATGATAAGTTTTAGAGATGGTCTTATTAAAGAGGTTTTACTGTATGTCATATGAAAGAAAGTTGACATTTTCAATCTAATTGCAGTATGAATGGTTGTGTCGAAGGTATTATGCTGAGACTTCGAACCTATCAAGATTTTCAGTTTCCACATGATATAAAAGTAAGTAAATAAATTTAATAATTAGTTACTGAATTTTACAGAATACACAAAGTTTTTGTATTTCATCCATTTTAACCATAGGAATGGCAATTCTGTTCAGAAAAGACTACTTCTTGTTGGCTCTCTCCCTCCTCAGTATGCTAAAATTGTATAAAATCTCTTTGGCAATGGTTATAATTTTAAAATTTTTTGTTTAATTAAAAACCCTAACCTAAATACAAATACTTTATGTATTTTCTACATGAATTCTGATCAAATTCATTATCCAAAGTTTTAACCAATGATTAATATTGAATTATAATGAAAAATAAATTCCATTATTAATTTTTATATTCTTTTAAACAGTTTTTTGACATGAGAATGCTGTTTTTATTGACTGCTTTATGTGCAGAAATCAGGTTTGTTTTCATATCTAATGATAAATATATTTAATTTAATACATTTACAACTCAGATGTTGTTATATACAGAAAAAATATATATATTATATAACATTATTTCATGCCATTTTAAAAAATGTGCATGAAATGAATCGTACAAACTGAAAACTATATATGTATAAATAAATATATATTTTTCATGGAGAACGAGATAACATTTTGGAGTTCCTTATATAAATAACAACCAAGAAAATAATAATATGGGAAAGTATTGTAGTCATGCCAAATTTGACCTGAATGTTCTCAGACCTCTGAATCCAAGAGAGTCAAAAAGGGAGAAAATTCCAACCTTTTGGCTTTTTTGGATTGTGTATTGTGTGTTTGTATTGGTAATCTGTTTTGTTTAATATCTCAGGAGGAGTAAAGGATTAAGAAGAAAAATTTGGCATGATAACTTACATATAAGAGGCATTGATGCTATTAAATTTTAGAGTATGGAAAACAAGGGTAGGGAGGTAGGGGGTCACATTGTTTTATCTCAAGTAGAGTCAGACTTAAAAATTTTATTCATTATTAACAATTACAATATTTTTAAAAACTTGTCTCTATCCTCAAAATTAAGCCTTTCTATAAAAATTAATAATAACATAAAAGATGTTTTATAATAAAATATCATAACAGATGGCCCCACATTAATATTAACTTTGTGTTAATGTTTTGTAGTATTTCTTAAACATAAATATTTTTTGTTGTGAAGGTTATGCAACTTGTTGTTGGATGTTTTCTATTATAAAAATAGTTCTTAATTAGTTCTTTTTATAAATTCAAAAACTAGATTTCACATAACTTCATAAATATTTCTTTAAGTTATTGGGTAAATATTGTTATGTTTGATTACTTTGAGGCACAGTTTATTATTATTATTATAAATTTTTACATAATTTGTAGATAATTGTCTATAGAAATTATTAAAAGACTGAATGTAAATTCACAAGTTTAAAAGAAACTTTTGAATATACATTCAATCTTTTAATAATTTTTATTTTCTGTTTGAGTGTTTAAAAGAAACATTCAAACAGAAAATAAAAATGTCTTTTTTATCTTGTCCCCTTCCATATTCTCAGGAACACATTCACATGGCAATGCTGACCTTTATATTGAGGTTTATTTTTTCCCCTCAGTAAAAACGGGTCCTTCTAGTAGTGGAATAGTATAAAAAAAATATAATTGATATAAAAAAAATCCAGGATGATAAATTAATAATAATAAGATTCACAAATTTAGAAGAAACACTCAAATATAAACATAAAACATTTTAATGTTTGAGTATTTCTTCTAAATCTGTGGATTTTTAATATTTATGTTTTAGATTTTTTTGATTGAATATAAAATATTTTATCTTTAAATTGTAGTTAATCATTTATACTTAATCTGCAAGTAGTTAAAAATGAAATAATATATAAACTACAAATTTTATACAGGCCAAAATTAAGAAATAATCTTCATGGCACTATATATCTCATGGAAGTTTTAGATTTAATATTAAAATGTAATGCTGAAAGGCTGTTAGAACAGAATCTTCATCATAAAAAGGAAGGAAAGAAACGTTACAGTAGAGGAAGCAGAAAACAGAAGGGAAATAAATGTTTTCCAGATGCAGAACAGTATATTAATCCATGCTTAAGTGTTGAAGAAGTTGATCTTGCTTGCGAAGTATTGAAAGTGCTCTTTAACCTTACGGTTAATATCGATAGATATAATTTAGATGAGGTAGGTGACATTTATTTAAGTTGTTTGTTTCTTATTCTAAAATTGAATTTAAAATTAATGTGAATAATACATTTTTTAAAGATTTGGCTCATCATTTTTTAATAAAACTGTAAACTAATTATAGACATAGTTATATCATTAAAAGTTCTTCAGAACTCAACACGTACCTTGAACCTGTTACTGGTGTGGGTGTTATGACGGATAAATATCGCAAATATTCTCATTTGTCCACTCCAGGAGCTCTAGCCACTGAATTCGTGCATATTAAACACCTAGCAACCAACCACAGATACCCTAAGCTGATCCATAGATTGATTAATCATTACCAATGCTCCATACATGGGCTTGCATCCGCACCCGTGGCGACAACTGACCAGAAGATGAAACACGGGTCCCCATCACGTATAATCCGTTCATTGCATCATTATATAAGGAGATCGCCAACAAACATCACATTAGGATCACCTACAGAAGATGTCCGATCATCTTGGACATCCTCCACAACGGGAAAGACTCCCCCAATCAGAATAGACTCCCATGCATTTACTCTATATCTCTTAAGGACCACAGGTGTGACAGGAATCTTATTTACATCGGTTCCACCAAATTCTCCTTGGTAGTCAGAATACGTGAGCACAATGCAGACATTCTACACGGGAGGAACTCTACGGCTCTTGCGGTTTACGTGGCTGACCCTGACATCGAGGCAGCCTTCAACCAAGTGAGGGTCATCGTTATCTCGCCTCACCCTGAGCACCTGAGGTGGTTGGAGGTTATTTCCATTTATAAATCTAGCCATGCCACCACGTGCATAAATTACGAAGAAGAACTGAATTTATCTGTCGCATGGCAGGCCCTCATGGACGCCCATCTTTAATCGCCGACTACCTGCATCGAATGCGCATGTCCAATCCAACAATTTTACATGAGACGTGGATTCAATTCTATTCAAATATTCATGTTCTATTTTGTTCTGCATTCTGTTTTTTTCTGTACATCAGTAACAGGTTCAAGGTACGTGTTGATTTCATCCTCTTCAGAACTCTTAAGCAGATACAAACCATTTCGTAATTACATTATATTTCTGCTTATTAATTTTTCTGTAATTGAATTTTGATCCTGTAGCTCAAAAATTAATTCTGGAATTAAACAATGCTTGAGCCAGTGCTTAGCAATGTGAAAAATACATTCTTCAATAGCTTCAAATTGCTGTTGTGATTTGCAACATTTATAAAATGTTATAACTGACAAAGTGCTGTAATTACAAGAATTTGAGTACAATTGTACAATTGATTCTAAATAAAGCATTTACTTTAAATTCTTTCTCTTTCAATAATTTTAATAAAGTAAAGCTCTTAATGTTAGATTGTAAAGTTTGTAAATAGGATTTGTATATTAAAATAGTAGCAGAAACATTTGTGGAACTAGTAATTTTACTTGTAAACAATGAACTACATCAGTTACAAGTAATTTACTTGTAATTTGTTGTTGTAAAAGAAATAGTATTTAGTTTTCAATTGTAAAGTTATGGAAACATAACAGTTTGTTAACCAGATATATTAACAGTATGACTTTTATTTTTATATATTTCAATAAATTTATTACACTCATGCCTTGCTAAGACAGTTGATCAAGTTATAGGCTGCTACTATAAAATAAATCACAATCTGTTTTCACTTCCCAGTGCCTAAAAACATCTTTATGCTCTTTAATCAAATGCATAATAGCGGTAGGCTTAAAAAAGATTTCAAAAGTAAAATAATAATAAATAAAAAATCATAAAAATTTTCTTAAGAGTGAGGTGAGGGCCAAAGATGATAAACTTCAAAAACATTTTAATAGCAAAGCATCTTAAAGCAAGCTACACCTATATGTGAATAAATATATAAATATAAAAAAATTGTATTTATGCTAATTGATTTATATTTTTAGGAAGAAGAAGCCCATTTTATGAGATTAGTTAGTATACTGCATGATATTTTGCTATGTGATACGTCAACTGTGGATAAGAAAAATGAATTACACAGGTAACTATTTCTGGAAATGATTACAAGACTATTTAAAATTATTCCATAAATTTATTTTCATATAATTAATAAAGTTAATAGATAAGTTATTCATTTTATTAAATGATTACAATATGTTCGTATTAAATTATCATCATCATTATATCCATATAAATTTTCGTTTAAAAATTATTTTTCAGTCATACTGTGAATCTTTTGACCAATATGCCTACTTCCAGCTACGAAGAATTGTTAATACCCATAACAGACATTCCTATTGATAAAAGTGATAATAAAGAGCACGAATATGAAGGGATGAGTATGGAAGTTATCTCAGTTCTTTTAAAATTTATGGAAAATCGATTAGATAAGGTATGCATTTATAAAAATAATAAATTAGTTAAGTATTATTTATTAAAATATTTTATTTTTGTGAGACTCCGCACTAAGTAATTTATTTACATAACTAAATCATAATATAACGTCTTGACAATAAAACTTTGTTGAATAACTGTCAACTTCCACGCCTTGGGAGTAAATTGTCTGTTAAGTTCTCAGCAGTAAAAGTGACGCTTTCTCATAACCTTCTGACTTACTGTCTCGATTTCATCAGTTCAATATAACAAGTAACTGATAGTTTAGACAGTTTTCAGTTTCTCAACTGGGGCACTCCTTTTCCTTTTGCCTCAAATTTCATATATATTTGAATACATCCTTTTATTATACATTTGGATATATCATTCTATTATGTTGTTGGATACATCGTTTTAATTATTTTTACGGATATATCATGCTTCTTACCTATGGCCATAGTATCTATTGTACATTCGGAATAAGAACTTTCTTCTTTTTGACCTAACCAGCTCACCTCAGATCCTCTACAAGGTATTTATTCCTGCATGTATGTTGTGAACTCTCTCTTGTTGCTGCTAGATAGATAGGCTAATTTGATATAACCCTGATATATATATATATATACATTTATTGTATATTGTGGTATATCAAGTACTTTTTTCTGTTGAAATTAAATGGTTATTTGGTTATTAACTTTAGTGTCTAAGTACTTTACTTCTGTCGGGCTGTCTCTCCGTCTCCACCTGGAACCTGATTGCTCGCACACATGGCTGCTTGCATGACTGACTTTTTAACCTAAACTAAATTGCCATTGCGATTCCCTTGTCAACCGAGACACGATGGTGTCAGTCCTAACAAGGCATCAAAGAGGTGACGACCCTCTGGTCACATTTTATTTGAAAATTTGGCAGAAAAATTAATTTTTATTATTAACATTGTTTAACTAAATGTAAATGTATCAATCATTTTAATTTAATTTCTAAAGAGAATTTTATTGCATTGCAGTTTCCTGTGTTTTAGAAGTTTTAATCATTCCTATTGTAAAATAACTTTATAGGTCTGTCTGGCACAGGGTCTTCCAAAAAGAATGTTATCATTTTAAATTATTGCAGTTATGTTAATTATTATCCAAGAATGTTGAAAGGTACATTAAATCATTGGAAACTATCCATGTTTGCCCTATTACAGGTTCTCATAATGCATCTTGTGTCACATGGCATTCATCCAACTGATACCCAAATTCTACCTACACTTGCTACAGCATATATATCTGTTGTTATTTTTCCCTCAGTAGTCACAATGCTACAGCTCCTACAGAGATTATTCACATTATGATTCAAGTAATTCTGACTTTGTATGCTGCAGTACACAAAATACTTTCTCTGTTGCAGAGTCACCATTTATTTTATTTTATTTTATTATTTTTTTTGTGGCACTTCCTAGAGATAGTAGAAACAAGATGTTTGAATGCAGATGAGAGATAAAATTCAGACAGTTACTCTATTGACTGGTATGTGTTGCATACTTCTAGGTTAATGATTACACTGGCCAACAAATTTTTTGTTGAATATCTATCAACACCTGTTCTTACTAATTTGGGGGTACTGTGTTCAGATCGGAGATTCGTTTTTTCTAGAAATCTCTGGATTTTTTGCGATTGATAAATGTAAAAATTCCAATTTTTCATGTTTAACTCATTAATCTCTTTGCATATGTGGATAGATATTTGATAAAATACTCTCAAAATGAACTGGGCAATAAACATTAACTTCAACATAGTCTAAATGTCTTTAAAATACAAACTAAAACCCATAGTCATAAACTATCTTAAAATTAGCTAATTAATAAATATTAAGTTGCAAAATAGTGTAAACTCCTTTATTGGTACAAAATGAAACATATACAAGCATAATTTGTCCTAAAATGAGATGATTAGTAAACATTACATTGCAAAACAGTCTACATGTCTGTAGTGGTAAAAATGGAAAGACAGACAGGCATCAACTGATTGCTACATAATGCATTTAGTTATATACTGGTGACTAAGTGCAAGTGCATATGATCAAAGCAGAAATTTTCATTCAGGCTCTTGCATTTGTGATCTATTTCATGACAATCCTGTTCAATACTCCAACAGTAGTGTGCCATCATATGTTTGTCCCGTCTACCTTGATAGTGCTTTTCCATATCTTCAGGTCATGAGAATACCAAAAGGTAACCCTTACATTTCCTTTTTGTCTAATCGTGCAGCATTTCCTAGCAGTTGTGACACACCCTATGTTGGACCCATTTTTTGTCTTGATCTCCAATAGTAAATCCAAAGTACGCTTTATAATTGCGCCTCACGAAGGAAGTTATGTAATGCATTTGTTGAATAGCAGTGAAGTATCTACAAATGTAGCAAAAAGTGTCTGGGTTGTTTGTAAATGGATGTCTCCTTGTAGCCATGATCAGATATGAAAAATAATCAATTTTCATATCTACACAATTTTATTATATATCATGTCAATTACATAAACATAAAGTGCTGGAATGCAAAAGTTTGAATTGCATAAAAACTAGAGTATGGAGGAAAAAACTGTTTGCAGATTTGAAATCAGCACACCCAAATTATCAATATTAAGAATCAGTAAAAAAAATCTTATGCAACTCAGATTTTGGAAAAAATTTGTTGGTCAGTGTTAACATAGTTACAGTATTTTAAAATGGTAGCATTTATTTTGGAAGACCTGTATAGTTTTAAAACATAGGACTTGTATAAACAATGAAGTAAGATGTAGAATTATTTCCAAATAAACTTTTCAACAATTTTTACTTGTATAAGCATCAACCAAAGGTTTCGGTTGATGTTTATATTTGTATATCTATGTATGTGATGGCTGACTGAGTGCCTTGAGTGGATGTTTCTGGCCAAGGGCACGAGTGTGTCCCCAGTCGGCACTGTATTAACCATCAATGGTTATACATTAGGTAAGTTTGAAGTTTATATATACTGGAAGAGGAGATTGGACCGAAGGTCTGTGTAGCATAACTGGCAACACATCTGCACAGTAGGTGGAAGCTGTGGGTTCAAGTCCTGCTTTGGGTTGATTCTTTTCTTCCAGTTTATTCAAAATTATTAATTTTAATACAACATGGGGCCTAACACCTCCTTCTAGTGCCAAATTTATTTGTAATTCCTAATTATTATTACCAAAATATAGCCCGATTAGTTACGGCAATCGTGGGTGTCTAATTTTTACTTGTTTAGAGGGAAGAATCTAATTAAAGTTTAATCCACTGTACAATATGCAGTTCTTTTGATATGAAACAAGATAACTTATTATATCATGGAAACAAGATAATGTGAAGACTGCATTTTTGTGCCTTCTAATTACAAATATTTTTTTAATTACTTTGCATTCTGATTTCATTATTTATGAGATCAAGTAATTTTAGTTGTTAGAATTATAGCAAAAACTGCTTATTTCTGTTTCTCATTTAGTTAAAATGAGTTATCTGTCTGTATTGTTGCAGTGCTTATTCAAAATAATTAGTTTCTTTCATAATTTGCTTTTAAGATACTTTATACAAACAACAACTTAAAGTTACTCTACTCAAAATTAAATTTTGAGTAGTATATCAATTAAAAGAAAATGTTTAAAATGTATTAGTATTGGTTTTTGATGGAACAACATTGTAAAAATTCATATGAGAGATGAGAGAGAAGATAAAAATCAACAAGTTCTATATTATTGGACAATAAGTACTTTTTCTATAGATGAAAACAGTTCTTTATCCCTAAGTTTAAGCCATCAGTGGCTCAGTGGATGAAATCACTGAACCTTATAGTTGGTCGTGGGTTTGTACATGACAAGTGAATTAGCCACAAGCAGTTTGCTGGGTTTCTTTGTGTGTCTAACACCTAAATATGGGTTAGTTTCACACAGTTTTTCTGAGTGACACTCCCTTGGCAGTTTATTTGTATGTTGCATTGCCTTATCCCATCAAACTTTCTTAAGATTAAGACAAATTTAATTCTAACAATGAATTTTTAAATTTCCTTTTAATGTAAGTTTTTGTAATTGGTGATAAATATTACACAATTCAATATGTTTTCATCAAATGAAGGTTTGTTTATAGAAATAGTGTAAAGCAATTGTACAAATGCTAAAAAGTATGTATATATATATTTTTTTTTCAAAATATTTAATATTTTTTTACTTTTAGAAAACAGAAATAAAGGAAGGTCTGACTCCAGTTCTGACTTGTCTTTGTGAATGCGCTCGTGCAAACCGAACAATCCGAAAATATCTCCGTATTAAGGTATTGATTATTTTACTCAAAATATTATTGCTTATGTACACAAATTAATTTAAAACAATTATTTCATGCATATGTTTATAAATTTGTGAATGTGCATACATCTGATGATACACAAATTCTTCATTCTTTGAGGGCAGAAACATGTGTGCATTAAGGAATATAGAAGTATATATATTTCCTATTCCATTACTATACTCCATGTCTAATATTACTACAGTTTTTGGATTTTCAAATTTGTATTTACATTTGAAATTCATCACTGTTGTTTTGTACATTCTAGTATAGAACATTAAACCATACACACTTGAAGCAGATCTATTTCAGATCAAAAAAAGTTTGTCTGAAGCAAATTGAATTAAAGTTCTTTGCTGGCAATACATTAAGATTTTTTGATTCGTTAATTTAATCCATCAGTTTCATGAAGAATTTGAATGGGTGGATTGGAGCTTTGTTGGAAAAGCAGAGGTAATGTGGAATATGGTAGCTTCAAACGTTGGGAAAGATTCAAAAACTGTTTTGGATGCCACAAAAATAGGAGAAAATAAAGTAGTTAAGGAACAAAATAACTTAATGAGGTAGTTTGAACTGAACAGAGATGAGAGCAGTAAATTAAATAAAAAATAACAGAAAAGGAATTAAGCTAGAGCAAGATATGTGAAATAATACATGAGAATTTAGATAGTAAGGAGGGAGCAAAGGACTGTGAGGAACCAGGGGTAGATAAGTGTATTCACTCTACCACTTACTCATCTGTACAGATCTGTAAGATCCACCTGCAGGGTCATAGGATAGAGATTATATCAAAAATAAGGTAAACTACAAGATCGTAGAATTTCAATTTACAGTCAGGATTCCAGACACCAGATAGGGATGAGAAACGCGCCCTATCATGCATTTAATTTAGATAACTTTTTCGAGATGGAGGGACCATAGGTAAGTGATGGGGTTTTGGTGTGGAATTGAGTCCAGAAACAAGACCATTATAATGTAATAAAACAAGATTTAATGGAGACAAAATATAAGTAAAATTACAGTCATTTAGAGTTGACTAATCCCTGTCCTATCTGCGAGAGAGAGAGTTTACAAGTTAAATTACTGCCTTGGCTTGTGTAGTTAGAGTTGTCGCCTCTCCGGATCTGTGACAAATTTGCTTTGAATTAACATGAATACAGTGGAAAGCTGCGGGGAAGTTTCAGTGAGGAGTTCTAGGCAGAAACCTTGGCACACCAATTGAAGATTTGGTGAATCAAGAGACTTGGGTTTGGAGTGCAAGAGAAATCTTAAATGAACTTCTCGTTCAGGGGAAATTTGCCCTTTTTATCTTAAATTCTGTCTAATCACAATCCTTGATTCAAGTCCACAGATGGGATGTGTGGGGACGTGGAGAGGGGATGGACTGCCAGGTTGATGTCGAATTTTGGAGATAAGGGATTGTAAAAGGGAAGTTGGTTTCCCCTTTTTGTCATAAAAGTGAGAAATGTATTTTCTTTAGTGTAAGCAACATGTGGAATAAATCTATTTCTCACGCTAATTTATTAACAAAATTTGAAGGAAAATATTTCTTTTTCTTGTATCGTCTTGTCATTTTCAACGTTTACATAAGAAAGCATTCTATCGAAAAATGAAGGAAGTGACGCAGGGTTTTCGTTATAAGAGATATCTCTGATCAAAATTACTCAAAATCTAGGTTGAAGTATTTTACTCCCTATTTAATCAAATTAATTAGATAATTTACGTGCCGATTCTCACAGGATATTTATAGCAATGCTTAGAGAAAGTAGAGATATAGAAAAGGTAGGCTTAAGAAAAGCAAAGAGGATAAGAAAATTGTGTAAAGAAGGAAGGGATATAAATAGTGAGTTGATGGAATATTTAGTAAGCTTTTAAATTAAGGTACAGGTTTAGACAATAGCTCAAATTCAGAAATCAGAGAAACTACAATTGAAAATATAATAGGTAGAGAGGTTTATGAAGCTTTAAAAAGAAGAAAAGCCATAGGACCAGATTGGATCGCTGCTGACACATGGAAAATTATAGTTGAACTAGGAATAAAGGGGTTAGTTAGGTTATTTAACAGGATAGCAATAGGACTCAATTCTAGAAGAACAAAGAACTGGATAGTACTATTATACAAGAGAAAAGGATGTGTAACAGAGCATGTAATTCTAGATGAATAAAATTAATGAGTCATACAATAACATCACAAGGAAACGTCATAGATAATATGATTAGGAATGTTATAAGTAAGAATCAGTTTGGATTTATGCCATATAGATTAACAAAGAAAATCAATTTTTGCACTTAGACAGATAGAAAAATATAGCTTCTAAGATGGACTTTAACTTAATATTTGTAGATTCAGAAAAAAGGTTAAGATAAGGTCTCTAGTAGTATTTTGTGGCAGGTACTTAAGCAGAAGGGAGTAGTAGTAGTGGGTATGTGAAAGAGATTGGGACTTGAGTTATGATAGAAGTACATCCATCAAGGTTAGGTGTTAAATCCATAGTTTTTTATTTTAGTAATAAATGAAATAAATGAACTGTTAGAGATATCAATAAGTAAAGGAAGAATCAGTGCATGTTATTTGCAAATGATAAAATTACATAATTAGTCAAGTTAAGGAAGAATTAATAGAGAAGAGTAGGAAAAAATAGAGAGGCTTGAATTAGACAAAGATATACAGGGTCTTTACAGACCTGGGAAGTCAGGGAATAAGATTTTTAGCAGAAAAAGTCATAAAAAGTCAGGAAATTGCTTTAAAAGTCATGGAAAGTTCGGGAATCTGCACATACTGTGGAAACCATCTGATGTTGTTATTGTGGTGAGGTGTGTTGGCAGTGGATCATGAAGAGATAGGACATTGAAATTGGTGTCAATTTGTACAGAATCACTGGATCTACAATATTATTTAGCAATAATAACGGATAAAATAGAATTTGTAAAGTTATAAGATGATAGCTGTGTAAGTTGAAGAAAATTTTCATAATGTCAAGGAAATTGCAAAGGAAATACGAACAGAAATGCAAGAAATGTATATTATTGAAAAGAAAAATTTCAAAGAAATCAGAAAAGCTTAAAATGACTAATGCCAAACAATGCAGATTGTATAGAGAGCATAAGAAAACAGAGCACATTAACTCCGATGTCAATACTTTGAGTGCACATCCACCTGAACAGATTTATATTGACTTGGAATGTGATAACCACCAAGACTTTATTCGTTTACATCTTATCCTTCCTCTAATAAAACAAAGACTGATTCACACCTTAAACGATTGTGATTGTGTTCCGTACTCAACCCTTCCAATTTTTTTTGACCTGCACATCTGGTTAATCCTCTGCAGACAGTTGATGCCATGGGGGAGGCAAAGAACTGTCAGTCAGCTTAACAATATTGTGTATAGCACATTTTAAACTGCGTGGCAGACCTCGCGCAATTTATGTATTTTTATTCATTGTATTCTTTGCTGCTGGTCACATACAGTATGAGGAGATAATAATTCTGCCAATTTTGACGGATTGATGATCTGTGATAGGTCTTCTCTTTAACTGCAAATTTTCATCTTTAGGTGACCCGCAGAATTTTGGAAGTACACATTTTTTGGAAGTGTACCGAGTGTACCAAAATATTGCCATAGAGTTAAAGTCGGGTTTTCAAAAACATTGACGACAACTTGCTTTCTTGCCAAAACTTTGCCATTCCCATTTTAAGTTTTGGGGAGGGATGGGAAGAAATGTAATGACTTTAAATGGATCCGTGCTGAACCAAAAATAGCACAAAATAAGCTATTTTTCCCTCTTGCAGAGTGTACAATTTCTTCTGTTTAAATTATTTTGAATTTACTGCAGCCTTGCTTTCAGAAAATTCAATTTTACAATGTGACACAAATCTTTTTCTTAGTTAAATAAAATTTACGAATTAATTTAAATTACATCAAGAAATTATTTATATGATGTAGAAATGATGTAGCTAATTATGTAATCAATTTTACACTAAGTTTTTTGTTTTTTGTTAGTGAGTAAAGTGCTTTAATAAAAAAATTTATGAAATTGTATACAAAATGGACTTAAATATACTTGGCTGAATATTATTACATAATGGAAAGGCAAATGCAGAGACATTAATAAGTCAGGGAATAATGTCATAATTGGTCAGGGAATCAAAGATGTAATTACCTGTACAGACCTTGGATATAGCATACAGAATAGTGTGTCTATTAGATTAAAAGGAAAGTTTTATAAGACAGTTATTTGAACAACATTGTTATATGGATTTGAATGTTGAAAAACGAAGAAATATTAGGTAAAAGAAGTGACAGGTAGCAGAAATGAGAATGCTTAGGTTTGTGTGGAATTGCCTTTGCTCAGGGCTGGCCAACAAGTTGATCATGATTGACTGTTCGATCAGTGCATCCTTTTTGGTAGATCACAGAATATATTATCCATTAAAACTTGAAGAACATTGTATAATTTTAACAGGAATATTATTTGCATATTAATATAACTTTCTTTTTAACTTACTTTAACTCAATGTTAAAATAACTCTTTTAACTATTTGCTATGGCTTATTAACACTCCATAAGATAATGTGTGGCGGCTAGAAAGAAGTGCTCTTTGTATTGATGGTTGTTGTTAGGTTATGTCGCTATTTTAGTAACTTAATTGTTTTGTTGGGCCTTAAGCAATTTCAGTTAAGTGCAAAATGAGTGAGCTTTATGATTTGTGGTACAGAAAAAAATGAAATTTTTTTTTGTTAAGGTGAGAAATAAATGAAGCATCCAAAGCCATAATGTAAATGCCAAAAAACAAACTTTTCAGCAGAGATAAAAAAAAACACTTTTTCTAGTAAATGAATTCATTTCAATTTCAGAATAAAATGGTAAAAAAACTCATTAGGTTACAAAATCTCTGGAATATCAAAATGATGTAGATATAAGCCATAACATTTTAAGTGCTAAAAGTTACTTTGGTGCTTCAAATGTTATGGCTTCACATAAATTCAACTTCAAAATACAGCCACTTACAGTGCCACTATCACACAATATTTTTTTTCAGCAGAAAACATTGCGTTTAAAATTCAATTCTTCAATAAAAAAATGTATTTAGAGAAAATGACATTTACAACTTTATGGTATTGCATGCTTCAGATGGTGTTATTTAATTTATGCTTTAGTGTATTTATCAAAAACAAATAATCTGGAATGTTAATTACTACGCAATAAATAGATATGTTTTGCAACATAATTTTATTAGGGTGAGTTTTATTAAGCTTTTATACAAGACCAGAGATGTGAAGTAGATCATTAGTTCTTTTAACTCATGAAAGTTGATCGCACTCCACTATAAGTTGGCCAGGCCTGACTTAGCTAATAAGATTAGGAATGAGCACAAAGGGGAGTAGTGTAGGACTAAAGTACATTAGAGCTGATTATTTTTGTTTGTTACGTATTATTTATGGGAATTTATTTATTATTTTTATTAATGAATTTAAATAATATAAAAATTTTATATTAAAAAATATAAAGTATAAACCTTAATAGATTATAATAAAACCTATTAGATTTTGGTCTAGGAGATGAGTAATAATTTAATAGATTATTATACAAGCTTTATCGGTAATTGAATTTTTGAAAATTTATTTGTAGTGACTCAGTTTTAACTATTTCTTTACTTAACATTTGTTTTTTATAGATTAAATAATTATTTAATGTGTTTTTTATATTTTAGTTACAACATATATAATAAACATCTTAAAGCCCAATGAGTATATAATGAAATAACCAATGATTGTGTGAAAGATCGGGCTAGAATTTGGCTAATTAAATGATTAATGTAAAGCGAAGGTTGCGTATTAAAAGTCCCGCCCCGGGTCAGTTCTTTTATTCCAGAACGTTTTCAATTATTTAATAATTAAAATTATAATTATTAATTTAGTTAAAAGATGGTGCCTAATGCTTTCCTCTAGTGACAAATTACTTTATGTTAATCGTTTAATTAGGCAAATTCTTGCTCGATCTTTCAGGCAATCGTTGGTTATTTCATTATTTACAACAGTTTTTTTTTTTCCACATTTTACTTTTCATTTCCAATAAATTTAGCTTCTGAATATATTATTTAATATTTGGACTTATTAAAGTATCTTAATTTTGTTGTAATTTTTCAGATTTTGTTAAATATTATATTTTATTTTATTTTTATAATTGTACAGAATTCATATATTTAAAATGATTAATGAATATAAAAAATTCTGTAGGTCTTGCCACCACTCAAAGATGTCATGAACAGACCAGAGGAAGGCATGACTCTTAGAAATAGGTACTTAAAAATTTAACTTTCAAAACTCATTAATTTTTTATAAAGTAATTTACAGAAAAATAAATTGAAAACTTTTAGATTAAATATAGATTAATATAAAATGAGAAATTGTGTTATAATTTTTAAATTTGAAAAAAGTACTTTCATAAATCATTTCAAATGTTTAAATTTGTTGAATTTATGTAAAAACATTTGTTTGCATAAAAATATTCTTTTATCGTATGCATAAGTTAGTTTAAAAGTGTAAGAAATTGTTTTTGTAATTCAATGAGGGTCACTAAAGCAGCTGAAAATGTTTGTTTTCTTTCATTTTTTCAGCATATATTAAAATAAGTGCTGAAAGTAGTACGTAAAAGCTTCTGAGTATGTTTGTAAAAATAATACTTTATATCTAAGAAAACTTTATCAATAGTACAATATATAATAATGCTTTCATGTGTTGTTGTTATTTCCATCATCAGGATGCACTCAAACATACTGATGATGGAAATTTTGCCGCAAAAATTTTGAAGATTAAATAAATTATTTTCGAAAGAAGCCCAAAGAACATTAACATTAAAACCTCTATAAATTGATAATACAAGTTTGTCATTGTTATAATAAATAAAAGTATACATAATATAGTAAAAAATATATATTCATAAGCAAAATTATATATGTCATAATACCAAGTTATTTCATTTAAAACGAAATGTTTTTTAAATAAAAAATGTATCTATCATCCATATTTAGTTCAAACTATCAGGTCAGTCCAAAAAGTTTGTGCGCATTAGTAGCATGTATGGGATTCGCGATGACTTATTATCAGATCAATAAGATTCCGAACCTGTCAAAACTTGTCATCGCTTGACTGATGTATTCATCAGTTTGTCACCAAATTTCGTAAAGATCAGACGCATATTAGTACTGATAAAAAATGAATATTGATAATGCATATAAACATGCTGTGTTATATTTTTTCTTTTCAAGTGGTGAAACTGCCAGATCTGCAGCAATAAAAATTAATAGTGTACATGGTGCACATACTATTAGTGTAAGGACTGCCCAGAAATGGTTTGCAAAATTTAAACTTGGAAAAAGCAACATTAATGATGAACCCCGTTCAGGATGTCCTGTCAATTTTGATAACGACGTTCTTAAAAATCTTGTGGACTCAGAGCCACATTTAACAGTGAATCAGATCGCAGAAAAGATGCATTCATCTCATGAAACAGTCTTTCGCCATTTAAAGGAGATTGGAAAAGTATCCAAGCTTGGAAAGTGGGTACCACATGAGCTGTCCGAAGCCAATTGCCAGCAGCGATTAAACATCTGCATTTCCCTTCTATTGTGCTTTGAAAGAGAGCCATTTTTAGACCGTTTGGTAATGGGTGACGAAAAATGGATTATTTATGATAACATCATCAGAAAAAGACAGTGGACAGACAAAGATAAGCAGCCAATTCCAACACCAAAGGTGTCTTTACATCCCAAAAAGGTTCTGCTAAGTGTGTGGTGGGATATGTATGGTGTCATTTATTATGAATTGTTAGAACCAAATAAAACCATTATTGCAGATGTATACAGTGAACAACTTTGCCGTTTAAATTCAGAATTGATTAAAAAATGCCCACGATTGGTGAATATGAAGAAAGTGTTGTTACACATGATAACGCTAGACTACATATGGCTCAAACAACGCTTCAAAAAATTAATGAACTGAATTGGAAGCTTTTGCCGCATCCTGCATACTCCCCGGATATTGCCCCAAGTAATTTTCAGTTATTTTGTGCCTTACAAAATTTTTGCTAAGGCAAAAAGTTCAATTTTAAACAGGATATACAAAATGAACTCAGAAGTTTTTTTGCTTCAAAACCAGAATCTTTTTACACCAATGGAATAAAAAAGCTACCAGAAAGATGGCGACATATTGTAGATAGTGGAGGAAAAAGTATCATAGATTAAAATGTTAAATTGTGTTTTATTTACACCATTTAAAAATTTTGCCAAAATGCACACGAACTTCTGGACTGACCTGATATTTTAACATAGACATAGCGGGACATTGGGCAGGTTTCTAAAGGCAATCATTGTGCCACTTTTAAATGCAAAGCAGGACTTAATGTTAATTGCTTTTCTTATGTAAATGAAAATTATTAATTTAAGAAATTATTGCTGTATTATAACCTGCTGCTATTTTAAGAAACAACAATATTGTTTTATTTAATTCACAAAAAATATAGACAAAAAGAATTAGATTAAGTAGCAAAATAATATGGCGATACAATGTTTACAAACACAACTTTAAATTACATGATTTTTTTCCATGAAAATTTAATTTTAGCTTCAAATGTGCTGTGAGATAAAAAATGTTGAAAAACACTGTATAATAAAATATAGATTGTAAAGTAGATGTAAACATTTATTTTAAGAACGTTGGCTCATCAGATAGGTAAGTGATGGGGTTTTGGTGTGGAATTGAGTCCAGAAACAAGACCATTATAATGTAATAAAACAAGATTTAATGGAGACAAAATATAAGTAAAATTACAGTCATTTAGAGTTGACTAATCNAAGAACAAGAATAACAAATGGAAACTTTCTGACATCCAAATGACTGTTAAATAAATAAAATTTTCATGTGTAAATATATAATATATATATTAAATGTGTAAAGATATTGTTTTTTAAATCAAATATTAGATTTTGTCAGACATATTTTAAGAATATAATAATTAATCTCATTCATGTATGTTTTAAAATGTACACACTGTCAATTACTTAAAATTTAAAATACAGTTATCTTAAATTTATTTAGAAATTAAAGTAAGTTTTATTATTTATTTGATATATTTTGAAAGTTGTATACAAATGATGTAGAAGATTTATAATGTTTCAAAAAATTTTATTTGAATAATTATATTTTATCAGAAACATTTTTCCATTCATTTTCTTTAAATTAATATAGAAATATGTTTTTTAATGATATACATACAACTATTAACAGGCATACTCCTTTAAATTTCTGACATTCCTTTTTATTATGTGAATGTAAATTAATTAAATAAATAAATTTACATGATAACAACCCAGGATATCTTCAATTAAAAATTGAATTATGACTATTTACAAAAATTATAAAATTTTTGAGTATCTTTCATCCTTTTAACACACCACAGAAGTAACAGTATATTGGCTTGATCCATTATATATTGTGCTAAAGAACATGGTAGTTACGGTCAGAAATTGTAACCATTGTTTTAATGTTAAAGGATGCCGAATCCTCAAATAAAAGGTCGGCGTTTCCATCATTTTTAACTTTGTTTTCTTTATAATTTATCACGTGCTCTACGGAAGTTTATTCAAGCCAATATACTGTTACTTCTGTGGTAACAGTATATTGGCTTGTCATGATTCAATTTTTAAATAAATTATATTCTAGATTTTAAATGTAATAAATCAGAAAAAATGTTATTTTATTATTATGATAGAATAATGGATTTTTTTTTATAATCCTCATTAATAAAACACTTTTTTCTTTAATAGATTAGTTAAATTGATGACTTCTCCTATGACTGATGTTAAAGAGCTTGTAGCAGATTTTCTCTTCATTTTATGTAAAGAAAATGGTAAGTGTAAAAATTAAATAATACATATTAATGAAAATAACACTTTAATATGTTTAATTTGCTTAATTCCTAAGAATTAGGCAATTTAAATATATTTAGAACATACGACAAAGCATATATTTAACTATCTTCTTTGATAATTCCTACACAATGAAAAATTATGAAACTTTTACACCTTGACAAATATTCTAAAAATCTAAATGTGTGTTGTCTTCATAAATGTATTTTTAATTGGGAGGTAGTTAAAATGTTTTTATTGATGTGATGTACCTTTGTATAAAATTAGAGGGCTGTACTGAAAATCATGCAAAAGTGGGCATAATTTTTTATTTACTTACATTGAGCTTTCAAATCGCACTTTTTGGTAGAGTAACTCTTCCTCAATGCAAAGATAGTAGTTAACATAATATCCATTATAAATGATGCATTTACTAGAGGAAGTGTTACTCTTAAGCCTGGACTCCACATTACTGGAATTAATGACGTAATTGTAAAACTGAAAGCCAAACTAATGAAACTTTCAGTTTTGGAATGTTCAGTTGAACAGAAACAAGACTGAAAGTAGAGTTTAAAATTATTTAAATTTTTCATTTTCATTCTGCACTTCTGTCATATTGCAACAAATAAAAACGCGAGAATTTGTGCCGCGTAGTCACGTGTAGTTTGATTGTCATAATATTACGGTATATTATGCACATAAACGACTATTAATTCCATACTATATAACTTTTGAAGGTATTAAATTAGAAGAGCAAATGTAACAAATTTTAATTTAAATGTTTGTCAGTTTTAATATTTTTCAAGTTTCTTTTTTAATTATTATTATTATAATTTAATGCTAGAAATTCAAATTATGCAGAAACTATAAAAGTGATGTCTTTTACATTGTTCAATCCTTTAAATATTCTAAATGTTTTATTTCAAATGCCATTATTTATTGGCCATATTCCTGCAGATACTGGCTTTAAAATAAAAAGTACTTTAATTTAATCTTGTTTATTGTTTCTCTCCTAATTTAACATTTGAAAAATGGGATTATGTATTATGCCTTCAAAAGTAATTTCATAAACTATTTTCAAAATTTTTCCTGTAGAAGTAGTATTATTATTATTTGTAGAATTTAATTACATTGCTATTATACATAATAATACAGTAATATGTGAGCTTTACTAATTTCTAGATATAGCTGGCCAGATGGCTGATGTGATTAGGCATTAGCCTATTGGCTTGATCAAAAAACTTCAGAAATTTTTCGGGAGAGTGATCTATTCAGGGTATGTTTGACACAATTCCTTGCTACTTGGCTGCCCCATTGTGGGCCAGGTTGAACCTTCGATGGGCCCAAAATATACCTTGTGGTGCCCACAGATGAAAGAGTAAAAAAAAAAAAAAATAGATATCTTACAGTTTTATGCATGAAGGAGTACAAATAATACATAAAGATCTCTTCTTTCTTCATTTCAATATTTTTTAAGATTAGTGCAATTTTAATTAATGATTGATTAAATTTGATTAAAGATTTTTAATTATTTATCATGGATTATCTCTCTTGAATTTTGAGTATAAAAATCTAAGAAATTATATTAAAATGATTTATTATTTTTGTATAGTGGAACGACTTATTAAGTACACTGGCTACGGTAATGCCGCAGGACTTCTCACTAATCATGGGCTCATGCACGGAAGACAAGGAAATGCAAGGGATTATTCTAGTGATTCTGATGATAGTGATACAGAAGAATATCTTAAATATAAAGACAGGTAATAAAATTTATATATTTTATGTCTAATTCATACTTCTTACATAAGATTTAGCAAATGAGATTGACGAAGAAAAGTTTTATTCTGAATTCTCTAACGATGAAAATTCAAAATAAGATAACTTTACAATAGTTTAAACAAGAAAATATTTGCTTTTAATTGAGTAATAACTATGAAAAATCAAAAATTGGTCAATCAGTTTTGAGCTTAACTTATCTTCTGGAACTCAACAGTGCTTGAAGGATTTTTATTTTCATAGTTATTAAGTTTATTATAAGCAATAAAGACAATAATACCAAAAATCCAGCATCATAAAAATTCTAATAGGCAAACAAACTTGCATTAATTGAAAGAACCTCTATCCTGTAACAGCACAGACAATAATTTATTTGAAGTAATATGTGTATCATCTGTTATGCACACAGTTGCATCCAATGAAACTAATGTCTTTTTTATTTAAAAATTTTGTTCTAATTACAATTTTTATTTTGAATTTGAATACAATTTGAATTTTCTAATGCTACATTTACACTGATGGCAACAAAAACTGATATTTTTATCATTTGTCTTTATTCATAAAACATTGCATTTTCATATTAGTCATTCATCATCCGAAAAGTTATTCAAGATTCGACATTTCTCATTATTGTAATAAGTGTTGAAAACGTTTTGACATCATATGTAAGAAGTAAAGTTTTATCCTGTTATAATATAGAAAGCATTTAATTGACTTATTAATTGCATTGTAGAAAAGTGTGCATTTCTCTTTTTGTGTATGTAGAATAAATCCGGTGTCAGGATGTTACGAAGAACCGAAACCTAGTCCGCTTGAAGGCATGTCAGAAGAGCAAAAGGAATACGAAGCAATGCAGCTTGTAAATATGATGAATAAATTGACCAGGTATTAAAGTTTTTTCAATTTTATTTGTTACTTAATTATATATTATAAATACTGTAATTCTTCTTTTTACACAGTCTCCATTTGTGAAAATTTACATTAATGTGGTTAAAAAATTGTAAAAAACGTCAGAGTAAAATACTATATTTGAGAATATGGAACAGCTTTCCATGGATTCTTTTACATGCTGTTTTTGTAGAACCAATTGATTGCATACATGGAGGGATTACTGTATATTTAGTATTCCAACATTTTACATACAAGCACTGTTCAAATAGGAATAAGTATTTCACTTAAACATTTTATTGATTGAACATTGTAGACTTTTATTTACACTATTTTTAATATAATTAAAAGTATTAATTATACTGTAGTGTAATATTATATAATAGCATAATTTAATACACTACAGTATAATACTTTAACTCTATTATACTGTTTTTTATTACAATCTTCATCTGCAAAGTGTTCTAGAAGTAACTTAATTTTAATTTCAAAGAAATTATTTGGTTAAGATATCAAATTCAACACAGGTTCAGTTGAGATGATACTGATATGGAACCTCTCCCCTTAAAAATTTCTTTTTTGGTCTGAGCAATTCCAATGCAGTTCTACGCTAATACTATCAGCTTCAATCTGTATTTTATAAAGGATAGGATATTCCATTTAAAATGCGTATTATTAATGATGAGCATATGAAAATAGATCAGAATTGTGCTTTTTGCTAGTTAGATGTGTTTCTATTTGTCAGTTGGGGACATTTGTTTATTTGAAGCCCCTGTAGTGACTGGTGCCCATGAAAATTGTACTATAACTTTTTTACTTTAGATTTGTACATTATTTATATTACATTTCCTGAATCATTTCTTACTTTTTCCTTTTGTTTCTTTCTTTTATTATTTTCATTTTTATGTTGATCATTTTGCAGAGGCCACTGGACACATTTCACGATGCCCATCCAGCCTTTTTGTCAGTGAAATATTCTTCACATGAGTTAATTCTTTGTACAATAAATATTCTAGCACAGTTTAATCCACATGTAATTTATATTGAACAGTTTTCATAAATGAGTTTTGAAGATAGTAGATTTTAATTGTTATATTAACCATATGAAATTCTTTAAGCAGTTTCAATAGCTTAATCCGATTTGATCTCATTTGGTTTGATTATCAACGTATTTCATCCTAAAACATTGATAAAATAATAATGTTAAGTTAAATTAAAACAAAATCATATTTTTTGGTATATTAACCATAAACTTACATAAAATTGTCCTTGATAGAAAAATATCAAATAGAGTATTGTGGAAATGTTAAGTACTAAATTACTCCAAACTGTCCTGATTTAAAAGTCAAAATTATTAAGAACTGCTGTGTTTCAAAGAAAATTTCTTGTCCAAAATATTGAGATATAGTCATTAGCCTGTATAACATTATTAATTTTCTAATTAAAAAGGTACAATTTGTAAAGTAGCTGCTACAACTATTACTATTTGTCAGAATTGAGATCAAAGTCTTCTCTTTATAACAAGCTTGATTGCCTTAACATGCTGAGATGGAAGTTTTGTGTCAGTTCATTATTTGAGCAGAAAGAATGGTTCCAACAAATAATAGCTTTCCAATGACTTTTCTAGCAATTTTCTTCCTTTTTCTCAGTGAAATTCACAGACATCTGCAGATTCATGCATGCATGGCGTGGCAGCTGCATGAAACTTCAAACGCCCATAACTACTTTTGAAAGAACTTGTGAACTTATTAGTTCATCTTTCGAAAAAATGTTTTAGACAAAAGGTTATTTTTATGTAGAATCAGAATAAGCAATAATCAATGAAAGATTCCCTTTTAAGAAACTGAAGTTGACTCCAATTTTGCTGACTCTAGTGCCTTATATGACAAAACTGATCACTGCTTCTTGTGGCCCCTTTGAAGTCTTAACATTTATGATTTAATGCTTATTTGGGGAACAGGGTGCATATTTTTTTTAGTTATTTCAGTGGATTGAGTAAAATGTTCCACCTTGTATAATTAATATGTATTATAAAGATTTTGTTTATCATAAATAGCACTTAACCTATATTTTTAAATTGTGGTCTTTCATTTATTTTAATCAAATAGAGCCGAGAGAGAAATTACAAGTAAAGTATACTTGCTTAGATTTTAGAAATTTTTATTAAATATAGGTACTTGGTTGCATAAAACATTGCAAACGTGCAATGTTTACAAAAGTTAGACAGAAATTGTTTGAATAATTTTAAATTTTTATTATAAAGTAAACTTTCTAATAAAATGTTTAAACTTTTAATTTTGTATTAAATGTATTTATTTTCAGGTTACCAAAATGATCAACTCGATCTAAAAGTTTTAAATGTCATAAATCCAAATTTGTGTTTTGGACACATATTTCAGTTAAAATAATTGAATATATTTCTAAAATCATATTAAACTTCCATATTGTTTTTCAATTGTAATTTAATATGTACACCTGGCATGCTCACTTAAACATGTGTCTGTGGCAAGAGAGATCTTTCCAGTATATCATGAGTTATGCATGTGGAGCGTATTTGTTTCAGCATTAAAATATCAATTTCTGCAATGTTGTCTCTGTCAGAGATTATTCGTGTTTTGTTAAATTGTATTAAATTGATTCCCTTTGATTATTTTAGTACTGGAATAAGCATTCACGTGTATGTACACTTGTTCAATGTTAGAAAGATCTCTCTTGCCCTCGGACAGATGTTTAAGTAAATATCTTGTGTATAACGTAATATTTTATAATTAATATAAATGCTCAAACATTCTTCATTTTACATTTACTTAAGATATTTTTCTATATAACATTTTAGGCTAGTCAAAGTTGCTGAATGACTTTACACTTTAAAATTTAGATGAAATAGAATTGTTGAACAAAAAATTACATGGTTTTAAAGAATATTTTAGANAGTGTGTGGTGGGATATGTATGGTGTCATTTATTATGAATTGTTAGAACCAAATAAAACCATTATTGCAGATGTATACAGTGAACAACTTTGCCGTTTAAATTCAGAATTGATTAAAAAATGCCCACGATTGGTGAATATGAAGAAAGTGTTGTTACACATGATAACGCTAGACTACATATGGCTCAAACAACGCTTCAAAAAATTAATGAACTGAATTGGAAGCTTTTGCCGCATCCTGCATACTCCCCGGATATTGCCCCAAGTAATTTTCAGTTATTTTGTGCCTTACAAAATTTTTGCTAAGGCAAAAAGTTCAATTTTAAACAGGATATACAAAATGAACTCAGAAGTTTTTTTGCTTCAAAACCAGAATCTTTTTACACCAATGGAATAAAAAAGCTACCAGAAAGATGGCGACATATTGTAGATAGTGGAGGAAAAAGTATCATAGATTAAAATGTTAAATTGTGTTTTATTTACACCATTTAAAAATTTTGCCAAAATGCACACGAACTTCTGGACTGACCTGATATTTTAACATAGACATAGCGGGACATTGGGCAGGTTTCTAAAGGCAATCATTGTGCCACTTTTAAATGCAAAGCAGGACTTAATGTTAATTGCTTTTCTTATGTAAATGAAAATTATTAATTTAAGAAATTATTGCTGTATTATAACCTGCTGCTATTTTAAGAAACAACAATATTGTTTTATTTAATTCACAAAAAATATAGACAAAAAGAATTAGATTAAGTAGCAAAATAATATGGCGATACAATGTTTACAAACACAACTTTAAATTACATGATTTTTTTCCATGAAAATTTAATTTTAGCTTCAAATGTGCTGTGAGATAAAAAATGTTGAAAAACACTGTATAATAAAATATAGATTGTAAAGTAGATGTAAACATTTATTTTAAGAACGTTGGCTCATCAGGATATATTCAAACATTGGCTAAAATAAACAAACATATTTATTTATTTTAAACTAAGGACTTTATGAATACAGACAAATTGTTTAAAATTTAGATGAAATAGAATTGTTGAACAAAAAATTACATGGTTTTAAAGAATATTTTAGAATATAAGACACTAAAAGATTTTATATGTAATTATTTAATTAGTTTTATTATAGCCTGATAATACAGTAGTTCATTTGGTGAAAATTTATCATCAATTTCAAAGATATTGGTTTGATATTCATCTACAGTTTTTCAGTTTTACAACCATTTCACAACAACAAAATTCTAATTCTTTAATTCAGTTATTTATTAACATAATGTAATATAGCTTCAAAGACAGCTTTTTGTTTGTACTAAGAATTTGCATCAGAATAAATCATTTCAACGTCAAAAATATATTTTTAAACAATAAATTGCGTTGTTTTTGAAATCTAAATTGTATAAAGTACGTAAGGAAAATTATAAATTTCTCATTAACATCTTTCAATTTTCGTTTCCTGCCAATTGAAATTAGTAGATAATAAAACAAAATAGCTAACATTCCGGAACGGACGGTTGCTAAGGCCGCAGCCGGTAACCGTTAAGAAACCAATTGATTTATTCATTTGCTCAATTCCCCGAGCGACGGCTAACGCCTTTTATTTATTTACGACTTCGAGATTGTTTGGCAGTTTTCTCCTTCAGAATGACACTTCATTTACATTATTTTACTATTTCTTTACAACTTTCAACATTGACTATTTACAAAGAATGTGATGCAATGGAGATTTTTATAATTGCATTTATATTGTATATAATTGATTAAAGTGTTTCTTATTAAAGAAAGTAAATTTTAAAATACCGTAAAAAATTTGAGTGATTTACAAGCATTATTCTCTTTTACACAATATTTTATGTTGTCTTTTAAGATTCTTCAACGAATTAAATAATAAAGCATTTGAGATATTTTATGTGCAGTTATGTAAATCATTATATTAATATTAATTAAAAATATGAGAAATTATTTTAAAATCAAACTTATATTATTAATTTACATATTTACTTAATCAAAATACAAAGCAAAGTATATTAAAAAAATACATATAATATACTGTAAATGTGTTTAATCTTAGAAGTTAATAGGGAAATTACATGTAAACATTTTATAAACCTGGCTATAAGCTCTTTATATGGATAGTTGTATGGCCAAGTGGTTAAGGCGAGAGAACTGGAGACGGTCTGTCCTGATATTTTAGGTCCCATCCCTTGCCACCCCATTGTGGCCCCGACCAAATCCATAATAAGCTTGCTAAAAAATAAAAAGGCCCTTAGTGCCACAGGGTGGATATTGTTTAAAAAATAAAGCTCTATATGAAATTGAGATAGGAATTATACAGAGATTGATTGTAATAATTATTGTGAAAGCAACTTATTGACAAAGGAGTTTGAATTAAGATTGTATTTCTGTTTTTATTTATTTAACATTTTTTTATGGAGAAACAAATACAACTATATATCAAATTTTGTATAACAGCTATACATTAAAGAAAATGATATGTACAGGATGACCCAAGAGTCAGTTAACTAATCAATATTGGATCATCCTGTATCAATATATAGAAATTTCGAGAACTGATTTTCTTTACTCGTCTGTAAATAGCTACAAATATATTAAATGATGCTTATTTTCTAGGGACGGCATCATTCAACCCATGAAAGTGGGCGACGACGGAAAGCCCCATCCGGTGGAACACATGCTCGAGCTTCGAGAATGAATCGTCTAATCATCGAATTCAATTACTTTGTAATTACAGCATTACAAACCAAAAAAAAATTATGATATATTGCCAGATTTTTTAGCATGAAGATTCTTTTAGCAGTTCTTTATACTTACAGATTATTTATATGCCAGTTTTGGTAATGTAACCATCAATTATGTATACTTGGCAAATTTGTTTTATTCTTTCATTGTACATTCTGTTTTCTAACGATTTTAGAAAACCGGACGGTTATTTATACCTTGAGAATTTAATGTGTTCATTTAAATGTATGGAAAGAAAGTATCAAACTGCGAAACTATTTTATTGAATGCTAATATTATAAAAGAAATAGCTTTATCTGAATCTATTTTTATGTACTATATAATTGTAATATTTGTTATCGTTTACTGAACTTAATGTTACGTAAATGCAGCGAATGCCGAAGCATAATTTGTCTTCTAAGTTCCTCTCTCTCCGTCATTTAGTTCCAAGGAAGACCTTCGAATCGTATATTTACATATGTATGTATCTGCAAGCATTTACGCCAAAGAATACTTATTAAACCTTAAACAATTTTATTTTTTATGCGATAGATTTAAGAAGAGAAGGAGTTAAATTTCTGCAAAGTAAAACTACGAAGACGTATTTATATATTATTATTATTATTATTATCATCATCATTAGTAATAGTTTTTGTAAGTAACGTAAACTCTTGTGTATCGTTCAAAAGTGAATTTTGAAAGTTTTGTGATCTATCGACTGTCATACGTATACATATATATATATAAAATTATATATAAATCTATCATTTAAGAGTCTTAAAAACAATTACACAAAGTGCATTCTTGCTTTTCCGAAATATTAAATTTGTTAAGAGACCAATATTGATATATTATATATTTATATGGTTCTAATTTAGAACTTTATTATTATATATATTAAAATTTATTGATGGATATCTTTAAGTGTAGCATTTCGTCGATAATTCTTTCAGCAAATTTAGGATTTGTAATTGCCGTCATACAGTGAATATGTATATTTTATCATCGGTACCTTCCCCAAAAGAAGAAAGGTATTTTAAGATAATTTTTTCCTCGTTGTTCAACAGGAAAATATGTAATCTGTTTTCAGAAATAAAACCGAACCAAAAAAAAAGGAAAATAACGAAGAAATCTCTGGTTTTTTATTGTTCTTGCATGAAAATATTTGCAAATAAATAGAAAATAAAGTCTTCTAGAACTTTTTTTTTAATTATTTTCGATATAGAATTAAAGGATCAACCTCACTTCTTCTTTTGTAAGTTACTGAATTTAGTATTTTCATTCTAATCCTATTGATTTCTTTTTTAATTTTTATTTTATTTTTCAATTTATTACCCTTTTTTTTTCATTTTAACTTCAGAAAATTTATTTTATTTTAATTTAAATTTAGAAATTTACATGTAAATTTTATTTAATTTAAACTTAAATACACTCTTTCATTATTATTATTATTATTATTATTTTAAAAATTAAAATTTAAGGATTAATTGCTTTATTTTCTAATTTTTGTTTCCTTTTTCTTTTAAGATAATTATTTTAAGGAAAAATATCAAATTATGTTATTCACTAGAAGATTTTTAAGAACTTTATCTTCATTTGTGAGTAAATTATTATTATTTTCTCTTGAATTTTTTTGAACTTCGCTACGTTTTCTCACTCGAAAAAGAACTTTGCCACTCTCGTCTGCCGCATATTTTTAATTTGATTAAATTTGCGAGAGGAACCGAGCCTTTACACACAAAAAACAAACAGCAATTTTTAAATCTGCTTCCAAGGCCGTCTCTCTGTCTGACATTTACAAAGATTTTTAAAGTGAAAACAAATTATTTCTACAAAGAGATTAGTTTTTTAAATAATTGAAATAAGTAAATTGAATTTAAGTAATAATTTAAAATTCGATAAACACAAAGTTTTATTTTTGTTTTTATTTTAGAGGAATTGATCTAATTAAATACCCTCTAGTTAATTTATATCCACTTCAAGTTTAGAATTATTTGATTACACGAGTATACATTTTAGTTGAATTATCAAAAATTAAAGCAACAAATGACGCTTTATTCATTTTTAATTTGCTTCGATAAATGATAAATGCAAACGATGGCGAAAGGAAACAATACTCGGAAAAAAAAAAGGAAAAGGAAATACACTTTTACTTTCCCGCTCCTTCGGCCATTAACTAATTATTATTGCCGTTTTCTCAAACCTGTGAATTAATGGCATTAATTAATTTATCTGCCGATCATTAAAACATTTTAATTAGTTAAATTATCAACCGAATATTTTCATTAATGCCAAAAGTATGTATTAATTATTTAAATTATTTAGCAAATTCAATGCAAAAAAAGATCAAGTAAAATCATTTTTTTGTTTTTTTTTAATTTCTAAATGTTTATTTGATGATGATTTTCTTTCTTAAAGATAATTATTCTCAATTCTAACTTAATAAATTTTTATCGTAAAGTTTATTTTAAGTGTATCTGTTGATATTTCTAAAGAAACATCAATAAAACTGTTTATCACATGTTTAAATATTGTCAGATGGCGAAAGATATCTTTATTTAAGCATCTAAACACTTTAGAAATTGTAGGAAAAAGACTTTTCTAATTAAAACACCTTTCCTAAAAGTTATAATAAGGTAGAATATAGGAATTCTATAGGAAAATATCTGCGGAAAGACTCCAGTCTGCTGCTCGAAGACCGGATTTCAGTATGTATCAGTTCGAAAATTTTTACAATTGTGTTTGTAAGAAATTCAGGAATAAAGTAGGTGAGTTATTACCTAAAATATCATGTCTTTCCTTAAAGAACAATGCCAAAGTTCTAGGAAAATACCTTCAGAAATGAGGCAGTTGGACACACTGGAATATTTAGTTTCAAATTCACTTCAGCTTGGAAATTTTTATCCTCGAGGAGAAGGTAAACCCTCACGTAAGCCTCATCCTCACTGTAATTAGAGGTCTCGTCTCTCACTACTTGGCTATATTATTGAGAGCATGACCAAACCCATAATAAATATGGCCTTTTGAGTGGTTATAGGAAAGGAAGAATTTTTTTTTAAATTCTGAATTTATTATTAATATATTAATTAAAGAAGAAAAACAATTTTTATAATTCAATTTATTATCGTTATTTTTTAAATAATTTTTTTGAGTTAAAATTTATTAATAAATTGCCGAAGAGAAAAAATTTTTATTATTAAAAATAGTAATTTTGTATTGTTATATATAATTCAGAATATCTTGATAAAGATTTTAAACTTTAAAAGCATGCACACACACATACACAAATATATATATATATATATATATAATTTTAAGTTTTAAACTTAAAATAAACATTTTTAAAATTCAATATAAATGTTGACTTTCTGCAGATTTTGATAGAACCATTTCCCTAGAGAAAATAATTAGAAAAAGTTAAATTTTAGAAACATTTTCTCCCCTTTAATATAAAAAAAAAACACAAAAACTAAAGTATTTTCTTGTTAGAAATGAACAGAAAAAATTGTTTAAGTTGTCGCCTGGATATACACATATGTAAAATAGACCTTCTTGGTGTGCGCCGCTCCATAGGACGTAACTTTGACCAAGCCAATTCAAACCCACAAAAAAATGGAGTCTGTCGAGACTTGAATCTGCAAAACATCAAGCCCGTCGAGACTCAAACCCGGTACATAGGGTCCCATTGTTCTTCGGCATTCGGCTGCTCCACTCTAGAAGAGACCAAACCCTTGACGAGCACAAAAATATTCCATGCGCTCCACACCCCAGGATGCGGGTTTAATTTTGGGTCGGCTCGACTTTTTGTTGGTAGAAAACGGGAAAATTGGAGCACACTCGGACTCGCATCGGTTCCCGTTGTTCTCTGACACTCGGTCAAATGCTCAAAAAGCACAAAGAGTCCCCTCGGCGTCTGCCACTCTGCAGGGTTCCGTGTAATGTTTGTAGGTAGGAACCCATGAAAATTTCAGCCTACCCAGACGCTTGTTGGGGTCCATTGTTTCTCTGTGCCAGACTGCCCCATTGTGCATCCATCTAAATCCTCAATAAACAGGAAAAAACTCCTGTTAGTGCCTAGAGGATTGGAAGGAGTTAAGTCATGTCAAATTAATAAAAATGTATAAAGTTTTTATTGTATGTATTTAACATCTTAAAATACTTATTAAATCATTTTTCTTCAGTTTAAAATTTTAGAAATTTTTTTTTATATTGAAAAGTAGAAGGAGAAAAATTATAATTTTAAATATAACAATTCAGATTTAACTTTCACATTTATTATTAATTCAAGTATTTATGAAAAAAAAAATCAAAAAATGTTTGAAAATTCCCATTGATATTTGTAAATTTTGTATTAATTAATTTAACCTTTCTGGTTTTTTTTCCCTTGAGAAAATTCAAGATTTTTGCTGTTTTCTTTCAAGAAAATATTCAAATTTTGACTATTTTATTCATTTTTAATTAAAACTTTACGAATTTATTTTTAAAATTATTCTTTAATTTAAAAAATTACCATTTATAATTACTAATTTTACAATAATTAATGATTTTTTTAAAGAAATTTTCATCTTAACTTTTTAATTTAGAAAATTTACAACTACTACTACAAATAGGCAAATTTTTGAAATATTCATATTATTTTTTAAAGTTTAATTAATTAAAAATTAATAAAATATTTAATAAAAATTAAGAAATAATATTATTTTACACATAAATTTGGTTCGTTTTTTTTTTAAAATAATATTTTAAAGCAATTTACTTCATTAATTGCTTCAACTTCCACATTACTTTGACATTTACTGATCTTGAATACCCAGAGTAATTTTCACATTTACTACTAAAATAATCAATTTTACTGATTTTTTAACGTATAATAACTTATTATATTTAAATTGTACGCTTAAAATATATATTATAAGCATTTTTTTTTTTCGCGTAATTGACCTTGAATGCCCCCAGTGTGACTTTCACACTTGCAGCACGTTTACCAATAAAATAATCGGTTTTACCGATTTTTTACTGCAAAATATATTTAATAATTCTTTACAGTCGATAGTAATTTATCGTCGAGTGAAGTAAAACAAAAAAATAAAATTAAAAAAACAGGGTGGTTGTAGTAGTAGTGACTGTATAGCAATTTACTAAGGGGAGTGAGAGATTGAATAGGCCGAGTATTACTCTCGTTAATTTCCTATTTTAGAGTTAGCCTGGAATATTTAAGGTAGTATAAGCTAGAAAGAATAACATGCCAGAATGATTTATTAGTTTTCTAGACACCATTAAGGACTATCTACCATTGATTTACCAACAATGACTCGGATCGGTATATCGACAACCGGAGGTTTCCGAAGGCAAACCACGTTTCCAAGAAGTAGAACACGAGGAAAAAAAAAAAAAAAATAGAATAAAACTCGATCAAAATTTTATGGAATCCTCTGACAAATCCTAATTTAAGTTTGATTGAAAATACCGAGCTTGTCTCGACGTACATGACAAACCGGATATAGTCGTACAGACAGGAAGACGTACATTCTCCATGACAGTAGAAATCAATCTTTACATCGATCGAATCTTCTCACCTTCGCTTTCTACGATAAAATATAAAATAATGTCGATTAATTAATTTAATTCTAATTAATTATTATTATTATTATTTATCTACAGTTCAATTAACGTGAGGATTTTAATGTTGTCGAACGTAATTAATTGGGTATTTTTATAAGGAATTTTCTCGTGTTTAATGATGCGGAATATTTATTTTTATTTATTTTTATTTTTATTTCCGCTCTTCTTCCTTCCTTCCTTCCTCTTAAGTAGTTTTATTATTAAAGAGTAGGACGAGATCATAAATTTATAAATTATCTTTTTAGGCAATTAATTCGTTGGCCAAATTACCCTTCTGGTACTTTATTCCTTTCTTTAAGTGTAATTAGTTTTATTTTTAGAAGAAGAAAAAGGCAAGAATTATGAATTATTCGAATGTTAGAATCACTGAAGAAGAAGGAAAAAGATTTTTATATTCTTGCTGCATCTAACACAATGGAAAAAGAAGAAACTTTTCTTAAACGGATCTCTTCAGTAATTGTGCCAAAAGAGGAAATTCTTCAACAGAATACCATACAAGCGGGTAACGTTTTGTTTGTTTTAATTGTGCCATCCATAATGAAAGATGTGCGAAACAAATGGATTGTGTTGACTGGCTATTGTGACTTC